CGCCCTCCACCGATTCATCCCTTAATTACAACATTGATGTTTAACTATTTAAAATCAGCAACAACAAAAAACTCTCATTTAAAATTCATTTTAAAGCAATTTTGGCTTAAAACAATTTAGTTAGTAAAATATAAGAAATTTATTTAGCCTTTAGAAAGATGATAATTAAATCTCTATTTTTGATCGATTCAAAACACATGTAAATTGCCCATTAGCGGAAGATGAAAAATTTGAATCTGTTTTGAATAAAAGTAAGGTTAAATGTAGGGAAATGTTAAATGGAGAATTACATGAGCAACTTTGTCACGCAATAGCACTTAAAAGAAATTAAACGGTTAAGTTGTTTTGCTTGTTCCTTCTACAGCAACAGTAAAAGGTTTCAAATAAATAATTCCAAAAAATTGAAAGATATACTTGATAACATAAAATCTTCCTCTTCAAATGTGAAGGTGTAAAAAGTCGACATGTTGCGAGCTCCCGAAAATGGGCACTCATTCTCAAAACTGAATAAATGAGGAAAATAAAAGAGATTTGGAACAGATAATTTAAAGCTTTATTTCTAAAAAAATGATAATAATAAAGTTGAATAAAATATGCGAACATTAAAAAATTTGTATTAATGAAAAATGAATATAAAATTATGAGACAATAATTAAAAAAAAGCAAACAGTATATATGTAAAAAAAAATAATAAGTGCAGCCCACAACACAGGAAAAAAATTAGCATGAAATAAAACTTTGTGAGTTGTTGTATCCATAACACGCAGCAGGAAATTTAAAAGTTTCATGTCTAAAAAATGATAATAATTAATATAAATAAAATATATGTTTTCTTACGAAATATATTGTTTGTATTAAAAATTGGACATTAAATTACGAAATAATAGTTGACGATAATAATAATAATAAGAAGAAGAAAAACTAAAAAATAAGTGAAGCCAAAACGCATGAAAAAAAACTTAGTAAGCTAAAAAATTTATTTTTACATTTTATTAATTTTTGAAACGAATTAATCAAGATAGCTTTAACAAATTTCAAGTAATTTTTCACAACTTAAATAATATTTCTTTTAAAAAAATTGTTTCGTTTTAGTTTTATGAAAATATAATGAAAGTTTGCAAAATACTAAAAATTTGTTAACTTGTTAACTAACGAAAAAAAAAACTAGAAGAATGTTATGAATTCTTCTCATACATTATAAGTTTTAAAAACTTTCAATGACGTCTGCAAATTTTTAATTGCTCTTTCAGTTCTCAAATGCTATTCGTTTTAACTATTTTGTTCTTTTTATGTAAACATTGAATTAGTTTAAACATTGAATGAGAATTATTTTAATGTAAACATGAATAAATAAACATTTATTCTATATTACTTTTTTTTTAAATATTATACATAATTTTTACACATAAATGCCCGCTATTTTATTTAAAAATTTGAAATCTTTCCCTTCGACTGTTTATTTTTAAAAATTCGCCAGTTTTTTTATTCGAAAAATATAATCAATTTTTATGTCAAAAGTGATGAAAGTGCCATATTGCGAACTAAAAAATATTACAATTATTCTAACAATAAAGAATGAAGTTTTTAATATTTTTCCTACAACTGTTGCACAGTTTTCAGCTTCGAGTAACTAATAAATCGATGCCGCAGTTTAATAAGACACAAATCGAATAATTTTCAAGTTTCATTGTAAACAATGACTTTCAGGTACAACTGTTCGATACAATAATCAAAATCATCTGACTTCCTATTATGTATACTCGTCTACTACTGTTATAGAACATTCTAAACATAATTTAACTCATACTGTATAATTTTTTATTCTTGACAATGCATACATGTCGAAGTTTACGAACCGTAAACTTTGAGATATCATGATCAACAATGAATTGTCGAAAGGAGTTCCGGTGGACATGCTAGGGCGGAACTCCGGAAACGGGAAAGTGAGAGTAAATTATGATGGGCAAAAGATCATCCACTTTTCCAAGTCTGTCAACATATATCTATAAGAGGATGCGGAGTTTATGTAAAGGGATTCTGTTAGCTAATAATATAATCCACCCATATTTTTCCCTTTCTTTTTTTAGGCTTTTTTTTTACGATTGCTTTTTATAAAATTAACATGAAAAATAATCTCTGATAATTTTGCTTAGTTAAAAAATAATTTTTACGGTAATTTCAATAAACCGAAATCAAATTATAAGGTTGCAAAGGTTGTGTTTTAAGATTTGTTATGGTATTTTTTTTAGCAGTCAAGAATGTAAATAATTTTTGATAATAGCGTTTAATTAAGAATTCATTAAACAATAATCTCGATTATTCGGTATTTGATTATTTGAGTAATGGAAAATGTTTAATTGTGTTTTGATATTTTATTACAGTAATTTTACAGCATTAAAAAAAGGAAAAATTTAATAACTGTGTTTAATTAAAAATGTCATATTATTAAGTAGTCTTAATTAACCAGCATCTAATTATCTGGGTAGTGGATGATCCTATATCGTGTATTAAGACTTTTTTAATGATGAAAATAACTTCTACTAATTTTAAAACTGGCTTTGAACAGCTGACCCAATTCTGAGTTACTATCAATGTTTAACTCCGTAGCATGTAATTTTGAACGCAATTTAGAAGACAAGGGAGCTCCTGGATCAAGCATTGTGACAAACTAGACTTGGTGGAGGACTTTTTTGATGGGACTAACCCACATTTGTTTTACACGGAGAGGAAAACCGCGAAAACCATCCACTGTCTGCCCGAGGAGATTCTTATTCATGGTATATGCCTACCACTAAGAATATTTAACTTCAGCACTGTGGTTGGTGCGAGCCGGGAGCAGAATTTCTATCAGCCAGAAACCTCTGGGATTCGAACCTGGTTCACCTCATTGTTAGACGAACATTCTATCCCCATAGCCAACGCTGCCCTATAAGATGTGTTTAAAATAATTGTACGAAAACTAGAATCAAACTCAATATAAAAAATGCTTGATACAGAATACTCGATTAATGGGTTCGAATTAGTCTAGAACAGCTGTTCACAAGAAGTGTTCCGCGGAAGCCTAAGATTCCGTGGAAATCATAGAGTTAAGAGTATAAATACGAAATATACGTGGAAATACGAGGAAGTACGAAAAGGGCTGGAACACTTTTTTTTTAATCAGCTGTGATTTATTTATTTATTTATTTCATTTTTTGAGACATGTAATAGGTTTTTATCCGAATATTCATTTAATAGTTAAAGTTATTTTCATGAAATCATTTAAGTAAAATGCCAATAAAAATAAGTAGTAAAATAGTAAATATTATACACAAATGCATATGTTTTTGTCAAAAGTAAGAACTCCCCAAAAGTCTTCATCAGGACACATCTTTAATTCTATGCTATAGTTAAATGCGATATTATATATATATATTCAACATGATTTATGCATACACCAAAAACTACTAGGCTAGAAGCCACTAGCTGCAGGCCAGCAAATTCAACTGACCTAATACCTAATCTTTAGACTGTTATTGATAAAGCAATGGGGAAAAAAAATTTCTTCTCACTAAATGTTTCTAACTAAATTTGAAGTTTTCCTCTTTTTTTAACAAATTCAAACCTGCTTATTGAATTTTTTACAGCTGTCAGAATTTCACCAAAAGAAGTATGATCGTTTATGGTTACATAGCTGGAAAAAAAATTGTGAATCGCTTCTCAACACCAGTGCCCCCTACTCCCCCCCCCCAACCTTCTCATCGTCACGGGGGTGTCAACTTTTGAAACAAAGTTATACAAAAACAATCAAAGCACCATAATAAATAAAATGGAAATAGTTTAATGTTCCTAATATAGTTTAATGAGCCCGGTATACCATTTGATCCAAGGCCTGGGAGTTAAAGACCACTACTCTAGACGACTAAATAGTCTTTTCCAATTGTTTTGAAACTATATTCGTTCTTACAGTACCGCAAAAACATTTATGACAAATAGATCTTTCTCCATAATAAAATATCTACTGAAGATATTTGAGAAGTTGAATTCGTTGAAACGAAAACAGATTTCTTTCATTTCATTCTTAACAAAACACTTTAATACTTATTGTTATTATTATTGTTATTTTTAGCATTACAATCATTTAAAATATTAAAATTAATATTCAGTCATTTCCTTTTATATTAATTAAATTATTCACATTTTCTTTTATATTAATTAAATCATTAAAGTCCTATTGAATAAGTTTACATTTTCTATTTAAAAAAAAGCATTAAAATTTATGTAAATTCAATTATTTGAGACGAGATATTTCCTGACCATTCCGGTTAATCGAGTGTCTTATGTAGTATATTACATAATTGTGTGTATAGATCTTTTTAAGCATAAAAGTATAAATTTCCAAATTACACACTAATTGAATACTTTATTTAATTGTTTTATTAAATTTTAGAGTTTCATTTAATTGTTTAACAATTAATTTTTAACAAAAAAATTATTAAAAAATGAATCTTTTATTTAAAAAAAACTGCACATTAAGAAAATTGTACAAAATTGTTACCCCTCTAGTGTTTAATTAAGTTTTTGAAAATTTTTTTTAAGGTTAATACCTAATTTTCAAAAAACTATCTAAAAAAAAAAAAAAAAAAAAAAATTTGTCTATTCTAAAAAATTATACACTTTACTGTAATTAAAAATATATATATATAATAATAAGCGAGAGGGAGAGAGGATAACTATAAGAGAAAGGAAAAATAACTATAATTAAATGTCATAAGTGATTAATGTTTCATTTTTGTTTTTGTCTACTAGACAATATATAATCGCAAAAAAAAGAGAGAGAGAGCGAAAGTCACAATGAATTACACAGAATATAAATAAACAAGGAAATAAATAATGGCAAGTACCCAGACTGCAGAGCGCACCTTTTCGGTGTTGTACACGTGACAAAACAAATAATTGCATCACCACCACTGACATTCTAAGATGGAAGATGGGAGTAAAGATAAAAATAGAAGACTCACCCTCGAAATTACAAGAGGAGACCCTGTTCCTTTTCCTCCTCTCAAACGAAATCCCCATGGAGGAGTTCCTCTTAAATTCAACCATATACTCTTTGAAAAAGACATGAATAAATATCTTTTATTCCAAGGGAGAGCATCGCAAATAGGCGACTGACCATAACATAACCGTGCTTTTCACTGAGAATGAGCGATTGAATATTCTAAGACTTTATTATTTTAAGAAATCATATAAATCTCACTCATAAAAATAATTCATAGAACGTTTGCCACCCCACTTTATTTTTAAAATTGACGGGTAAAGAATGCGTTGTGCGCTATTCGCTGACTTTGATAATTTTCTTTATTTTTCCCAATATTTATATTTCCATTTTTATGCGAAAAATGTTTTCAATGACATCGATAGTGGCGCCATCTGTTATATCTTCATATAAATTAAAATAGAATTTGATTGATAAATTTTAAAAAAGTAGTGTAAGGTAAATAAAAAACATGAGTTCATTGCCTTGAAGACTGCATCTCATCGCTTTAACGCAAGTCAAAAATTAACTACTAACTAAATTAGCAAAATAGTTTCTAAATATTTAAAATCAAAACATAAATGACTAAATGCAAAAAAATCATTTAAAAAAAAAGTCTTATAAATATTTAGTATTACATTTTTTTTATCGATTAAACTCCTAACTTGTTTTACATGGAAATTATTTTATTGAAAAAAGTTTTTTTGGGGGTTTATTAAAAATTATTAATGTAATAAAGCTAATAGATTATTTGAAATAAATAAAGCAAAAACACTAGTAGTAGAATATTAATAACACTTATAAAAAATAAATAATTTACAATAAATTTAAACACAAATTTTTCTTTTTTTATCCATTAAATAAATGTCTATGCTTAAAAAATCTAAGAGATTTTTATCAAGAAAATATAAAAAAAAATTTTTAAAAAAAAGCAGCTAACCGTTCATTTTTTAAATAATTAATACTCTAATTCTCAAAATATTAAAATATTTGCGAAGTAAATTCAATCAATACACACCATAGCGCGCTTACCAGTTCTTAAAAGGAAGACAATTTAAAACGTTTCTAAATATATAATACCTTAGAAATTTGAGATAGTATAATATTTAAAAACATTTCTAAATATTACATAACATCAAAAATATTTCAATCTTGGTTAGACTAAAAAAAACTTATATTAACTCCTAAAAAAATAGATAACGTTAGATATTTCAATATTAGTTTCTCTCTTTCCCAAAACCAGTCTGATTTTTTTTTCTCTCTTAAGCGTACCGAGTTTGGATTAGTTTGAATCTTACCGATTCATATGCAGAGAGGTATAAAAATCAAAAATTAAAAATAGGTAGAATAAAAAGCAAATGCAGAGATGGCATGCATTTTGATAATTAAAAATTCTTCATTTGAATGAAGACACTTTAAAGCAAGTAGCATAAATTCTTATAAATGTGAACAAAACAAATCTGTGTAACCCTTTTTGCTTTCATACATGCATTTTTTACCATCTTGCTATCATTGCAATTTATTTAACAAATAAATAGTCATAGTACTTTTCAAGTGCTAGTGAGGAATTTAGTACTCACTCATTTATATTACGCAATTACCTTATCAATCATTTTCAATTATCTTATCATTTATATTTGATAAATGCAACAAAAATAAGTATAACGCAAATTAACAGCAAATACTCTTTTTTTTTTAAATAAATGTCTTCTTTATGTAATTGAAGCTACTTGAGCTTTAAATTGGTCGTTTTCTGCCCTACTATGACATAACATATACCCTATAGAAGGTCAATCGTGAGCATCACTTGTACAATTCGTTGTAGGTACAACTCGTCATAGCAACAGTTCGTTGTGTACTCAATTTCTTGCGGTTTCGATGAAATGCATCTTAGTTCAGCAATTATAGCAATGAAAAGGGCTTTTCTTTAAAAAAATTTATTCCAAAAGTACTTTTTAAGGGGGGGGCAGAAAACTCCCCTACTCTCCTCTGTACTTTTTTTTTCTGTTGAAGCAAATGAAATAAATAGAATGAGTAGTTTAAAAAACGCTTTATTTATTAAAAAAATTATTTCTATTGATTTATGTACACTTCTAACATTGCTATCAAGAGGCTATCTGAACATGCCATGTACATTTTTCGATGTAATATTTCGTGCTGAATTAAATGGGATAAGGTTCAAGTTGATAGGATATATAGAATTTAAACTATAAGAAATTTCTTGATAATTAGTACCATTCAAAAAATAGTACTTTTATATTAAAAATCCACTAAATTTTTTTAAATACTGTAGATTTTTTTTCATTCGATTAAGCATGAAAAAATGCGAAGAAAACAATACCTCACTTGGTATATTAATATAAGATGCGTATGTAAGTGCAAACACAAAATTATACTTTTTCACACAAAATCCTTATAACTTATTAACTATTTGGCTTATCAATTCCTGTTTTAATTCAACATAAAAAGTTACATCAAAAAATATACTTTACATGATTAGATATCTCTTACATAGCAATTAAAAGCGTGTACATGTCAAAAGAAGTACTTTTTATGCACAAAATTCCTTTTAAATTTGGACCTATATTCATTCTATCTACGTGTGTATAGTCTCTTTCAGTTCAGCGTTAATAAATATATATGAAACATAGTTTCACTTGTTTAGATAGCAATATTAGTTGTGTAATTTGTACTTTTTCTAAATAAAATCTTTATATTTTCTAAACTATTCAGATAGTCTCAAGATTGGTTTAATTTAATTTAGTGCAAAAAAAAAATGGTGCGTGGAGTCCCTCCGCGCGGAAGAAATTAAACTTCGCAACCTGCGACGTTAATTGTAGAAGAATCAGCAGTCGTAGAAGGATCACTAGTTCTATTCAACGACTCTTTTTCCTGCTCCGCTCGC